CACCATCATCATCGTCGTCATCACCATCATCATCATCATCGTCATCGTCATCATCGTCATCACCATCGTTGTCATCATCAGCATCAGTCTCAATCTCAGCCTCTTTATCTGCCTATTCATCGTTCTCTTCCGCTTCATCCGGATCATCTTCGTCTTCATCCTTGTCTTCATCTTCATTGTCTTCTTCTTCATCAACGTCAGTGCAGGCAATAGGACTTGCCAGCCGCTACCGTTGACAGCATTCCTACTACAGTAACATCCTGTGACGCGGGGTCTGGACAGCAAGATCTCCTAGCCGCAAACCCTCCACCAGCCAAGTACAGGTTATGTCTTGTCTGGGGTGTGGATGACAGCTCTTCATTCTTCACAAATAGTCGCTTAGGTCTAATAAAAAAAGAGCCTCGGAGTAGCCATAAACACTCGAGCTGGGGCTATTGTGTATATCACAGTGTTTCACTCTAGCTTGTCCACAACTTTTGGTTTAAGGATTTGAAAGTGCCGACGGTGTGATGGGTACAGTAACTTCAAGCAGGACTGCGACGGCCCTAGGTTACAACAAGGCCATGAACTTCATCTGTACATATATTGGTTTTAAGCCCGTCTAAACCCCAAACCCCTCGCCCCCAAAGCCTCAAACCCCAAAATCCTAGAGGCCTAGAGCCGTAAATCTCGCACATGCTAACAGGACTGGTTTAGCGGTACTATTCCCGACGGTAGTTAGGGTGCCTCAATACGGCTATACTCTAACTATTAGGGCTCCCATAAACGATTAAGGCTCCCCTCAACGATTCAGGCTCCCCTTAACGATTAAGGATCCCATAAACGTTTCAGGCTCCCCTTACCGATGAAGGCTCCCCTTGACTTATTAAGGCTCCCCTTGACTTATTAAGGCTCCCCTGTTTGCAGGACTGGTTGACTCAGAACTTCTCCCGGTCCATCTCCGTGGAGAGCTCGATGGCCAACCCGGAGGCTACTCTTCGGACCTTTGGGGGCTTTGGGTTTGAAGGTTTAGGGTTCCTTTAAGGGGGGTCTGCAAGGATTCTGAGATAACTCTTTGTTTTGGGGATTTTGGGGGGTTTCGGGCTTTGGATGGTAGGGCCCGGCATTTTCAGGTGTTGGCAATGGGGTTGGGGTTTCGGGTCGAGGGTTTTTGTTTAAGGATTTTAGGATGAGGTTGGATGTTGTGGCGTTTAGGGCTCTGGAGTTGGGGTTTCAGAACCACACCTCAGCAAGAAACGCCCTAACGACCCACAGACAATTAGCAATGAATGCTTCTGCGTGCCAGGAAGACTCT